CTTTTTAATAATGGCCATTCTGACAAGGGTAAGTTGGTATCTCACTGTGGTTTTAATTTGCATTTCCATAATCATTGGTGATGTTGAACATTTTTTCATACGTTTATTGGCCATTTGTATGTTTTCTTTTGAAAAATGTTCATGTCTTTTGCCCACTTTTCAATGGGATTATTTGTTTTTTTCTTGCTGATTTATTTGAGTTTCTTGTAGATTCTGGATATTAGTCCTTTGTCAGATATATAGTTTGAAAATATTTTCTCCCATTCTGTAGGTTGTCTATTTACTCTGTTGATTATTTCTTTTGCTGTACAAAAACTTATTAGTTTAATTAAGGATCATTTATTTATTTTTGTTTTTGTTGTATTTGGTTTTGGGGTCTTAGTCATAAATTCTTTGCCCAGGCCAATGTCCAGAAGAGTTTTTCCTAAGTTTTCTTCTAGAATTTTTATGGTATTAAGTCTTAATTTTTGTATATGGTAAGAGAGAGGGATCCAGTTTCATTCTTCTGTATGTGGCTATCCAATTTTCCCAGCACCATTTGTTGAATAGGGTTTCCTTTCCCCTGTGTTTTGTTTTTGTCTGCTTTGTTGAAGATCATTTGGTTACAGGTATTTGGCTTTATTTTTGGGTTTTATCAGTGATTAAACTTAGAATTTAACACAAATCATGGAAAACCATGATTAGTGTTAAATTTTAACTGGATCCTAAAATTTTCTCATTGAGAAATGCTCAGGAAATTGAAGTTTTCTCCTAAAAATTACAACTTTTATGATTGTTTGAGGATCTCATGCTGGTTGATTTTTGAACTTATCATCAACTCAGAAATGAAGAGTGGAAACCCAATCACAGATGAGGTTTCTGAATTCCACATGAAATCTGGTTAGCTCCTTATCTACTGTCTATCATTACCTTGAAACGCCATGAAGCTTAGGCTCTTATACGCCTACAGGGATTTTCTTTCAAGCAATAGAGTATTATATCCTTTAGGAAATAAGGCAATAATATTGCTTAAGCAGAGAACACCAAACGATGCCTACTTTGGAAAGAGATGATTGAGAAAAAGTGTCATGCAGGGGAAAAAAGAACATCCGGTGGTTTATTCTCTAACTACATAATCAATTTTTCAAAGAGCAATTTTCTAGGCAAAACTTTGTAAAATAAAGTTTCAGATCAAGGGCAGCTTAATTGGAAGTAAATTATTTTTATGTTAAAATTGATCACCTCTGAAGTTGTCAAAAGAAAATGATCTGATGGAAAATTAAAATTTAATTGGGTTGTGCTGCAAATTGAATTTTAAGTGGATGTGTGTAAAATGGGAGACAGTTATACACAAGGAAGCTAGCACAGAAAGTGGTGAATCACCAGCCTGTAACACCAGTTCTTTTTCTTAATTGAAAATGAATTTTTCCATGAATTCTAAGCTATAAATAGACTTCAAAAATCCAGCTTTTGTAGGAACTGTAGAACCTTGGGATATTATAGATGTATTAGATTTTAGATTGAGTTAAAACTAACCCAACTGGTACATGAAAAGGTACATTATCATTAAACATGATCTTGCATCCAATACTTTATATTTTGTTTGATGTTGTGCGTATGATGTTGGAGGTCTCAGAAGTCTTCAACTTTGTAAGAAAACTAAAGCAAAATGAACTGTTCTCATCAGCTATCCTCCTAGAGGCTGAGGGTAGTAGCACTGAGCCATTCTTTCCAGGTTCAAATCCTACTTTCCTCACAAAGAGATCTCATGACCCTGGGCAAATTACTTAACGTCATCTGTAAAATGAGGATGAGTAGAGTCATAGTATCTAACTCTCGGAGTTGGTGGGAAGATTAAACATGTTAATATCAGTAACTCAGTTAGACCATGGTAAGTGAAGAATACAGAATAAATGCTGAATAAATGTTATACAGCTGCTATTATTTATTATTATTATCCATATGACAAGACCAGTACTGATACATTGAAGCCCAAAGTTCTCTTCTGGAAGGTGACTCTTGTTTGCACTAGAGACCTTACCTTTTGCCGTGGTTGGTTAGGAGCAGAAACCACTACTGTGTTGCAAATTGCCAATGCAATAAAGAAGTCAATGATGTACAAAGTCTCCAGTGGTGGATTTTGGAT